AAATAAAAAATACAAAAAAAAAAAAAAAAAAAACAAAAAATAATAAAAAATAAATTAAAAAAAAAAAAAAAAAAACTCTTTTCCATATATAACTTTTTTCTTAAAAATTTTTTTTTTTAGTAATTATTTTTCAAAATTAAAAAACAAATATTTTCTTTATCTTTCAACTTTTCAAAATTCTTCAAATATCCTTTACCTTCACTACAAGAACCTCAAGGAAATTAAAGAAGTATGCTAATACATCAGGATGGAACCTCAAGCCAAAGAAAAGCAAATTTAAAGCCCTTGCTTTTTTTTTTAATTGTATGAGAAAAGACCCGTGGCAGTTATTTCTTAATAAATCTTTCTTAAGGTTTTTTCTATTTTTATTTTTTATTAAATAATCATATTCTTTCTTGAAGATTTTCTTTACAAACAAAAAAACCAAACCACACATCAAAAATATTTATATTGTTGACTTGGAGGACTAGCAATATATTCATTGTTTACTTTTACTATCACCCAATATAATTTGCTGCGTTACAAAAACCATCAAACTTTTTTTAAAAAAAATTTTCACAAAAAAACTGCAATTAATTTACTTCTGTCAATTGATTAGCATCTCAAAATCAATCAATTAAACATTATCAATTATTCAAACAAATCTATAATATCAAAATATTACTCACTGATCAACATAAACAAAACCAGTTTTGGTGATTACAATCAAAATAAAATTATATCACCAACTTATAAACCAATCATCTTATCAACTATTAATTATACCAACACAACAATAACAACTATCATTACCAACAATAACTCAAGAAATGGTTATCAAAAGGATGTGTCATCAATACTATTATATACTATAAGCTATAGCATAGCTATTCCAGAAAGTATAATGATACTTCAGAAGAGTAGAACTATCAAAGCAACATTAGGCTCCATTTGTATTATAATTAGTTTTATTATTATTTTTTTTTTGTTTAGTATTTTCTTGTTTATTTCTTTACCAATTATAAATTATATCAATATAATAATAATAATTATCACTACTAATAATAACTCAAGAATTGACTGTCAAAAGAATGTGTTATTAATACTACTATATACTATAAACTGTAATATGACTATTTCAGAAAGTATAATAATAATTCAGGAGAGTGGAACCACCAGAATGACATTAGGTTTTATTTGTATTATAATTAGTTTTTTTGTTATTTTTATTTTGTTTAGTATTTTCTTGTTCATTTTTTTTTTTACTTCTTATAATTTTTTTATATATAAATCTAAGTAGGTATTTATAGTTGCCCAGTACTATTTTTGATAATATATTGATTTTAATATTTATTTTCCTTTGCAATTTAGATAGTTTATTGTAGGCAAGCTAGTATTTAACTCACTGATCAACTGGTCACATAAGAGATGTTGTTACTTTCTTCATGTATAAATTTTTCAATTTTACAATTATAATAAAGTGACGATGTTTACTTACTTAAAAAAAAAATAATTATTATTATTAATTATTTATTTATTTTAAAGTTTTATATATAATATTTATAAAATTTCTAATAATATTATTTTAATACTAAATTAATATCAAATTTATTATAAGTTTAATATAGTGAATTACAATTTATATATTAAATTTATTATAAGTTGATATTATTTCAATATTATTTCAATATTGATTCAAAATTTCAATTATTTATATTTTGACAAACTATAATTATATAATTTATTTTATAAAAATCATTAATATAATAATAATAAATAATTGTTTAATAAAATTCTTATATCTAATACTTATTAAAAAAAATAAAAAATAAATAGATATAAAACCAAGTTTATTAATTAAAAATAAAAATATAATTCTAATACTTTTTAAATTAAAGACAAAATATTATTTAAATATTTTTTACTATAAAATCAAAAAAAAAATAATAATTTATAAAAAAATAATTAATAAAAATTTTATAAAAAAAAATTTTATTTATCAAGTTTAATTTGTATTTATAAATCAAAACCCTTGAAAATATTAATATTAAGTAAAAATATAACATAAAAATCAAGAAGTCCATATTGTAATATTAAGAATAATTAAAAAACTTAGCAAATTTTAAAAATAAAAAAATCCAACATAATTATTTTAATTAAAATTTTTTTGAAATTTTGTAAAAACAGGATGCGCCCAATAATTCTTTAAACCATTTTAAGATATGATATATTTAATTTTTAGTTACATTACTATAGTCAAAATTATAAGTTTATATCGTACAATAAAATTGATAAATTTAAAGATTTTTAAAACATATTAATTTTACATCATATTTTGAAATTTAACATTTATAAAATACAATATATTTATCTTAACAGACAGTATCTGCTAATTAAAATTTAATCCATTTATTATGTAATTAGCGTGAATAATAATCAATCACATTTAACTATTTCATCCAACAATCGACTTAAGATTTTCACTATACTATTTAAACCAAATAAACTATTTTCATCTTCTCCAACACCTTCTCGAAAATAAGAGTGAGCAAAATCTATGAATCTCAGATCCGTCGCTTTAAATTCTTCGAATTCACTGTCTTCATCCTCATCATCCTCCTCATAATTCTCATCCTCTTCATCCTCCTCATCCTCCTCATCCTCTACCTCTTTCCTCTCCCAATTATCCTTCTCTTTAGCATCTTTAACTTGCGAACATTCTTCTAATTTCTGGTTATTTTCTTGTTTCGTTTTATTTAAAGCCTCTGAAAGAGCATCTGGATCTCCTTCGTACGCAAACAATAAAGATGCACTAAATAATCTCACATCTTGTTTCCTCAACGCATCCGCCAACAATTCTAGGTCTTCTATGAACCGTTCAATAACGAGTCGGCGTAGTTTTGTTGGTATATCTGCATCGAAAAAATTGGTGAAACCCGAATATACAGTGTCGGTAGTTAGGCTTCTACCATATACTCTGTCATAGTTAATATAACTATCTGATGAATTCTTAAATACCTTCAATAAAGTATAGAATATATCGTTAATTTAGATCACTAGGCATCATATTATTGTTTCCACATATCGATGCTTACTTGAAATGCTATTACTGCAAGCCCAAGAGAACCCGACGTAGTTATTTCTGCTTTTCTAATCATTTTTTTTCTTTTTTCTTCACTAGCATCATCGCCCCAAAGCTGTCTACCTATTTTAACGTCCATTATGCATGGCTTTTTGAACTTGCTCAAGAGGTTTTCTATGCAAATGGCTTGTGTTTTTAAATATTATAGTTAAGAATATAAATTTAGGATGATTATATTCAAATAATTCGCGAAAAAATATTATAGTTTCAAGGATATCTTCGACTCCAGAAATATTCATATTTTGTTCTCTGTTTTCCCTTAGAATTTGTCGTTCAATACTCGTATCAGCCGTTTGTTCCTCATTGATGCACTCTCTTTGACTTTCTAAAATTGAAGAATTAAAGCCTTGTAATCGCAAGTATCCATAATATTTGGGCATCCATTTGGCAAAATCAGGATGTATTATGCTAAGCTCGTAGAAATCTCTTTCTATTTCGTTACATGGCTTAACAATCATAGAACCATCATTTATGGATAATAATTTGCGATGTCCTCCTAATTGACGTTCAAATCTCTGAAGAGAAGGTGATGTTTGTGGTGCATTCGAAACAATTTCAGAGGAAACGTCTTGAGATAATGACATGTTTTCAGTTTGGAGGCAAAAAAAGGTACATACCTATTTTTGCACAAAAATTAAATTCTCACTATTTCCGTATGTGAACATGTGTGCATCGTGTAACACTAATCATTTATGCTTGTTATTTATTTTTTTAATCTTTAAATCAAAAGCATCGCAATATAAGATTTTTATGTACTGTATATAGTTGATCTTTTTTTGATTATTTTATATTTCAAATTAATATTTATAAGTTTAAGAATATTATATTTGCAATTAAGATATTAAAAACTCTTTTCCACTCTCCTGTTGCTTGAAATTTTTTTAGGAAATTTTTGTGTTGTTTACTTTTATACTTTGCTTTTTTCTTCCTTTGCTTTTTTACTTTTTCTTTCTTATATTTTTTTTTATTTTTTCTTTACTTCTTTCTTTCTGTTTTTTAAATCTTTTTTAATATATATATATATTTTCTCTTTTTTCTCTTCCTTATCAAAGTTAGGTTTTTTTTCTTCCTAAAGTTTTTCTTTTTTAAATCTCTTTTTCTTTATGAAATATTACTTTTTATTTTATTATCTCTTTAACTAGTTAACTTTTTTTTTTCAATAATTATTTAAAAAGTAATAATTTTTTTATTTATGATTTTTGAAAAAAAAAATAAATAGTTTATAAAAAAAGAATAAATAGTTTGTTTTTTTTAAAAGATTAATATAATAATTATTATCAAATTCAGTATTATTTACTTATTAATAGTTAAACTAAATATATTTAAAAAACTATTATATAACTATTATTATTTGAATTTTCAAGAAGTTGTATTTTACAATATTCAAAAAGAAATAATAGTCAATATCAATATAATAATAATAATATTAGATTATTACAAATATTATATTGATGGTTAATAAAATTTAATAAGATAATATATAATATTCAGAAATTCTAATTATTTTTATAAACAAAATCAATAATAACATTTCTAATAATACTATTTTGATATCAAGTTAATACTAAATTTACTATAGATTTAATATAATAAATTATAACTTATATATTAAATTTATTATAGATCAATATCAGAAATTAAAGTTTTAAATCAAAAACTAATTGATATATAAATTGGTTTTGATTTAAATTAGTTTAGTTTTTAAAAATTTTAATTTGATAAGATTCTGATTATCTTAGTATCTAATAATTGGATTTTAATAAAAATTATAACATTAGATTCCTCTCAATAAGAGTTTTTTAATAGTATATTTTTTTATTCAAATTGAATTGATATTGATTAAATTATTTAAAAAAAAAATTTCTTCTGATTATAAGTATCTTCACAAAAATAAATCTAATATAAACCCCTAAAAAAAGGTACTTATAATCAGGAGAATATGATATAATATATCTAATATATTAAGTGAATATAATATTTCTGCCAGGTATGATTAATATATCAAATCAGCTTGATTGACCAAAACAATCTAAGCAACTTGAGTAATATAATTAAGTATATTTAACATATTTGACAGAACTGACATATTTTGTCTATTGTTTACTTTTATTTTTTTTATGTTTCAAATATATAGTATAATGCAAAAAATTTTAAAATATTATTTATATAATATAAATACATATATATAACTTTTTCAAAACAAATGCAATTCACGTGAAATTTTAAATATGTAAACAACATATTCCAAACAATATATATAGGTACTTAAAATTATTTGATCA